TTCTATTCTATTCTATTCTATTCTATTCTATTCTATTCTATTCTATTCTATTCTATTCTATTCTATTCTATTCTATTCATACTGCTGGAATTACAATCATATATTACCTATGCAGAATTTCTATGGCATAAAAAGCGTCACGTTTAATTAGCACATCTTCTTGTTTTGATTAAAGTTCAGAGTTTGGGCACGTCAAGACAAACTACAACTCGGGGAATTCGCTCTGAATGCTGGGAGCGAGATTATGACTCTCTTTGAGAACAAAGTTGGGGTACCGTACGGTCTTCCCAAAATGGGTGAGTTTCAATCTGAAAAGGTAGTGTTGTTTCGAAATATAGTGTACATTGTATGTTGGTGTGAAAGTGGGCATATATATTTATTATGTCAACGCAATGTTATATACAATAAGTATTGGAGTCAGGTCTCAGTACGTCATCGAATTCGACATTTTTGTAATCTTATGTAATTGCTAGACATGTTATAATCGGTGATCAATGATCTGACCACTTCCACCACTTCGACAAGAAATCCAGAACAAGTCTTAGTCTCGTCACTTCTAAAATTGTCCGAACCTCAGACTACTGTCATAGTAGTACTATAGTAGTCCGAGCCAGAACCAATGATCGTACAAGCCATAAACGAACTTTACTGGAATTTACCGACGCCAACGTTCACACAATGATGTATAACTGATGGTTTTTCACTATAATTAGTGGGTACATTGACTGTGTTTTCATTACTCGTCAGACATGATAGCCATTCCCAACTACGCTGCCGGTGCGACTGAATTCTGGGGATGTATGTTGTTTCGAGAGAATCGGTTACTTTACGACGAGGTGGAACAGACCGAGTATTATAAACAAAGTGTAGCCGCCATAGTGACACACGAAATAGCACATATGGTAATATATTTCATCGTATTCACAATGTCACAGTCGTATAACACTTTTCCAATATTTAAAAATATATTGTCATTGTGGCACATATTTGAAATGTGTGGAGGGAGTGTTAAATCATTCAGTGGAAGCGGCCGTTGTAGTTGATTACATTCAAACCGTTTGAAGACGTCAGATGTATTACTATACTATACTTGGAAATGGTATATACATGGTGTCTACTCAGTGATGGCCCAATGCCACGCTTAGAAAGGCGTGCTACGTATAGTTACTCGCCAGGCAATGTACCTCCCTACTACCACCCTGCTACGAGTATCAAGTTCATAGTGTTATCAATCCTCCGATATTACGTGATATGAACATATCAAGCTTAATATTTAAAATCTTAAAACAATACATTATAGATTGGATGCTAAAATGTTATATGATAAGGATTAAACACATACAATTATGTAGTCCGATAGTGTATGCAATGATAAGGTGCAACCCGGTATAATTTAGTGAAACCGATCAATTTATATTTCCAGTGGTTTGGTAACTACTTGACCTGTGATTGGTGGAGCGATATTTGGTTAAACGAAGGTTTCGCTAGTTTCTACGAGTATCCTATCATGGAGCAGCTTTTCCCGGAATGGAAGGTGGTAAGTGACAACATAATTGTATATGAATTATGTTCGGACAACGTGTGAAAGACGAATTCAAACGACAGTTTGAAACACACATTTAAAATAGATAACTACTTGTACTTTTCTATATTAGGCGGACCAATTTATGGTTTTAGATCTAGAAGGAGCGTTTCGTTACGACTCGAATTCCATGCTTGCTGAGCCCCTTGTTAGACCAGTCAGTGGATGGAGACATGAAATAACTGGAGTCTTCGACAAAACATCGTATAGTAGGGTGAGTCAATGTATGCATGTCACTAGAACCAAGGGTAGATAATACAAAAGGGTACACAACTCTGCTAATCATGCATACAATATACAATAACCTTCCCGTTAGATGTGACCTCGGGAATGTGTGAGAGTATGGAGTTTACATTTATACGCGGTTCATTTAACTGTTTTCATTTAAACTTACTAGCACGGTACATTGTGTGTGTGTGTGCGTGTGTGTGTCTGTTCGGTCGGATATTTTTGGGGTTGTCTCAGTCACTCAGCATTGATCGATTTCGATGAAAACTTTTTAGCAACCATGCAACAACAGTACCGTATTAGCGCGGCGCATAAATGGTTGTTAAGAGACCCCTAGTTGCATAGCAACGGGCGAAAAACTGATAAAATGATAATCGTTAATATTTGCGCCACAAATCTGAGCTCCTACAGTGTCGCTTTCAAACTATATCATAATACTAAGAGATACATGCTTCACAAAATATATTTGGCCATTTTTTAGCTCCGCTGTCGACTTTGTCGAGCGGAGCTTATCATATGAGTGATTGTCCGTCGTCATCCGTCGTCCGTCGTCTGTGTCAATGTTTTACTTTTTCGACTTCTTCTTGAAAACTACAAGCCTGAATGCTTTGATACTTGGTGTATATGTACCTTGGGTAGACCTCTCTCAGATTTGTTCATTTCATGATCATATCTTCAATTCTCTAATTTTGGTGAATATTTTTGTAATTTTTGGTAAAAAATGATATTTTCGACTTCTTGTTAAAACCGCAAGTCCAATTGCTTTGATATTACATATATAGGTACTACATGTGGATCTCTCTCAGATTTGTTCATTTTGTAATGATATCTTTAGTTCTCTAATTTTGGTGAATATTTTTGTCAATTTTGGTAAAAAGTGATATTTTCGACTTCTTGTTAAAAACCACAAGTCCAATTGCTTTGATATTACATATATAGGTACTACATGTGGACCACTCTCAAATTTGTTCATTTTGTAATGATATCATCAATTCTCTAATTTTGGTGAATATTTTTGTCATTTTTGGTAAAAAGTGATCGTTTCGACTTCTTGTTAAAAACCGCAAGTCCAATTGCTTTGATATTACGTATATAAGTACTACATGTGGACCTCTCTCAGATTTATTCATTTTGTAATGATATCTTTTATTCTCTAATTTTGGTGAATATTTTTGTCATTTTTGGTAACAAGTGATATTTAACTTCTTGTTAAAAACCACAATCATTTCTGGTGAAAATGATATTTTTGAATTCTTGTTGAAAACAGCAAGTCCCATTGCATTGATACTATGCATATTGTTCATTTTCTAATGATATCTTCTGTTCTTTAATTGAAATGTGCATTGCTAACAGCGGAGCTATCTCAGCTGAGAGGCTGCTTGTTTTAATTTTAAAATTGCAATATCTCGATGCATTCTGTATCTACTGAGAGAGGATGCGATGTAATTGTAACATGTCAGGGAGTTGTTGAGTGTAATGTAACACCAATTTTGTATCAATTATCAACATTTCCGTTTTAGGGCGCCTCTATACGTCGGTCTTTGAAAGCGTTTCTCGACGATGATGTGATAAATGAAGGTATTAGAACCTACGTAGCAAATCACTTGTATGAGTCTGTCTTCACTGATCAGTTATGGGAAGAACTTACAAAGGTACGTTTACCAAGACATCATACTTTACCACACACTGTTGAATTATTGTATTTAATTGTACATATCTGATGAATTCGTTTTAAAATAATTACAATCAGTCATACTAAAATGTATTAGTGTCATGTCTTATTAAAATGGACATTTAATTACATTATATGATTATAGAATAACACTTGCGATAGACATATAAGGTCACACATCCGGGCACTTCCAAGCGACACTGCTGCTGCTTAACAAGAGCAACAATTGCCAAAATTTTACCTGATGTTTTACCACGTTAAACTTCTTTTAAAAATATAATCGTAAAATGTCAATTTCATAGTTAATCAATAACTACATGAAGTGTAAGGATGTGTGACCTTTTGAGGTCGTGTATAAGCCCCACTGGTTCTTGACTAACTCATTCAATACAGGCTGACAGAGGTCATGGCAACACAGACGTCAAGGCGGTGATGGATACATGGACCTTGCAACATGGTTATCCTGTAGTAACAGTTACGAGAACCAGCGAAACTAAGGCGTCTGTTGTACAAGATCACTTTCTGAGTGACCCTAACGATGTAACTAACGACTTGTATGAAAATCTAGGGTAAGAAGTGCAGTAAGATTTTCATAATTTATTTTAAAGTGCTTTCTCGTCACCGGTGTACCAAGTTACCACTTCAATAGGTAAACCATTTCTTGCTCAAAAACAACATTATGGAATAGATTAGTGTCTACAAACGGGTATGTTCACATACTTACGTAGTATTACGTCGTTAATCGTGGAAGCACATGACATGTATGTCACATGACCACGCAAGTAGGTAGATGAAATAAATTTACTCATATAACTCTTTGATATATACTGATATATTACCCATACTCCTCTACTCACTCAAGGTATTTATGGCATGTGCCATTGACGTATACATATGCTGCAAACCCAGATTTCATTAATCCTAGTTTTGAATGGCTGAGGAACACAGACAAACCAGGTATGACTGTATATGCCATTACACATACGTTTACCATGCAGTGTGACAAGATCCGCCACTTACTACATTATATTACTCCATGGAAGGTACTAACGTTAGTACCTTCCATGAATACTCTATCTATACATTTAATTGAATTCCATCTTTGTAAATATATATGAAAAAACAAGCTGAAAATATAAAATGTGTAAAAATGGTCCGTGCTCTTTTTCTGCGAAATGTGAAGTATTGAACGTATATCTCCTGCTCTGACCCCTTCACACATTTCATTGTGACAATACTTGAGGTTTTATCCTTTCGACAAGCATATTTAGTTTAAGAGGCCGGCTTACGCTCATCTGCAGTTAATTTCTTGTCACCCATCTATAATTTCAACATTTTGGGGTGCATATGTTAGTGTGAAATGCAACTTTGATTAAAGCAATGAATAAAATTCTGTACATATCTTCTATTTGACAGTAGTTATATACACGCACATTGTATTGTTATTGAAACTCGGGTATTTCTCGCACCAAGTCCACCGCGAGATATTTCGTTTTACACACAATGGAGGACGTGGATAACCGGACATGAGCTCCGGTGCGAATTTCCCAATTTCATAAAAATAATCGTATTCGAATCTCAGGCTAGCTAATTTGGCGTGGTGAGGAGCATACAGGCATTTATACCGCCTGGGGGAACGAACAACCAACCGGTCAAATAAAAATAAATAAAATACAAATGTAAAGTAAACAGATTTAATGTTTGAACTAGTAATTCACTCAATATAGAAACGCCATAGCAACAACATGTCTAAGTACAACGGCAATTTCTGAAATTACAAAATACGTGCTTTACAGAAATTTTACAGTGAGAACACAATAGCTTTACCGCTATCGTCAGTTCTCATAAAATGATACATAACACAATAATAAACTCATGTCAACAAAATCGCCAACCAGTTCACAACGTTCTATACAGTCCTGTACAGTAAATTCGCTGACCACGAGGCAGGTATAATCAGCGATGAAGTAATGGCGTCGCCAGAGAACACGGCCACTCTCCGGAAATCACAACTACTCCTAATGATTCCAGGCTTACGATCTGATGTACGTCAAGTTCCTTGAGCCATACGTTGCAAAAGATCACTCACCGCTTATCGATCAGTTCCTGAGTCGCATCAATTCGGTCATCGACGACACAGTCCAACGCTGTACGCCCACAAATTTGGCGCAACGCAAGCTCGACAGTCACTTTGGTTTCTTCGCAGTACGGGAAAAACATAAACTCGTCCGTGGGCTGCAACACCCTGAAGTTGAACTCAGTTCTTTCTCAGGTTTTCATACGCCGACTTGGTGCTTTCCAGAACACGTTCGTGTTCACGGTTCCAACACAATCCCGTTTTCGGCTGCTGCCATCTTTGTCTCTGTCCTGCACCTTCTTCTCTTGCGCGCCGAGTGGCGTGACATCATGGGACGCACCAATCAGTGAAGCGCGTCTCAACAGGCGTCAATCATGAGACCAAAACTGTTCCATGACGTCACAAATACGGGTTACCATAATAAATAACGCACAGGCCCGTAGTAACAAGAAATATAAAGAAAACTACATAGATTTAAAGAAACAGTAAAATTACCCTGGTTTCACACTCCCCTGGTCTGTCCAAGGATGCCACAGTGCACAGAAGCACTAGGGCATACCCAGGCAGACCCAAACGAAGCAGGGTAATGCGGAAACAAGGTCAACAAACTCGAAAAGCACAGCATTAAGCGAAAACGTGGGCGTCATTCGATCCTCAATAGAACCTTTACATATAATGTCCTAGTAAATGTTTTCTTTAGAAATGTTTCAGAAGATAGAGACGTGTACACCTAATTGATTCACACTAGACAATACACACACTCATTCAAACTCCTCAAGTACCTGTCGGCCTTAGCCAGAACTAGAGGATATAGGGAATACAGTGCTGATGTCCCCCTAGGGCAGTGTCTGTCGCAATCGTGCGAGTCCCACCCCCTGATATGTCACGAACAACCCACCTATTGGTGGCTCCGCAAACAACATCGTGACGCACCACATAGTCTTCCAGATTGCTAAGAAAACCATGCCCGCGCAGGGTATATAACCTATTCGTAGGTTTCAGATTTGTCGCTAAAAATCCTGCGAGTAAATCAAAAACGATGACACGAACCACGACTGACTAAGAACACACGCTCCGCCAACCTGTCAAAACCAGGCTCTTCACAAAAAGAAGTCTCATAACACTATATACATATATACAAATAGCTCACCCACTGCTGCCCTGGAACGTAAGCCTACAACGTAATGTCCCATGGAGATCTCGCTGTGTCGGGTCATGCAATTCCATATCGCATCTGGCGTTTGAATATATAGGCATGCCTCGCCACGGGCATCCAAGACCAACAGTCACAGACAAGTGAAAACTAATTCATGACAGTTCAGTAAAGCAATGTTGCAAGTATACGCTACCAAAGTGATGGTAATACTGCAAACCGCAGATGCTAACCATGACGACAATGCTCACCGCGCTGCAATCTCAAACAAGGGGACGGCTGATCAAACCGACCCTCTCTAACTGATACACTGATACACACTGGGTGACGGTATCTAAACGCGGAGAAACGTCAACAAGACC